AAGTTGATGGCAGAGGCCAAAGCAGGGTAGCTAGTCTGTTGGGCCTGCAGATCACCCGCAATGATAACGGGGATCCTCCCAAACTGCGCTACAAGGGTAAGGTCATCAAACAAAGCATTATTGGCAGCGTGTAGTTTTGGGTCCTGGGAAGCACCCAGTTGCGTACACAGAAAAGACGAGGGCACACTTCTTGGGGGTGACCTGGATCCATGCAGCGACAACCCGCTTGGTTTCAAAAAGCTTGTCATAGACGCCAGTGACATCCTGTGGTACTGAGAAAGGACGAACCAGGATGGTTGGACTGGCGATCAATAGTTCAAAAGCCAGGCCACAGCCAGGAGGACACGGTGAGAGCAGGCCAAAAGCCAAAGCCCGTCATGAGAAAGCACATGCAGACAAAACCGGAAAGAAAATCCACAAAGCCCACGAAATGCAAGACAGACACGGACGATGCGGCTTCGGCAGCACTCACTCTAAATCTTCGCGACTACTTTCAATACTTAGGCGGAGGAGTCTCTCCGCTTGGGTCTCTCGGCCGACCATAGGTGTTGGCTAAGATCTGGCGGAGAGCATCTTGGATGCGTCTAACTTCTGGATGCGCACCTCATCGATCTTGGGCAAAGAGGTGGGTACGGCAAGCGAAGGATTCCACGGCGTGGCGGTGTCGGGTTCTGCGGGACCTTTGGCTTTTCCCTTCTGCGATCCTTTTCCTGCATTGCGCCTTGCTGGCGCAGTAGCCGGCTCAATCTCTTGAACAAGAATCTCGACGATGTCTGATGTCGGCATTGATTTGCAACGCAAAGGAAGGCACACTCGGCTTCTTGTCTGTTGTCACGATCCAGACGTGGACTCCGGCAGCACGATACATCCTGAGTGGCAGGGGGGGCTGCCGTTGGCACGGGTCGGATTTGAGCCATGAGTCCTTGGGTGGTGGACCTGGAGCCGATGGCTTGGGTTGGGCTGCTTTGCTCTTGGGTTGGTCTGCATCCTTGGAGTTCATCTCAACATCTTCTTGGGCGCCGGCAGAAATGAACTGTGCTGGGAAGCGCCTATACAATCACATACAATCAACATCTAGAGTCCTGCTCATTCGGTTATGGGGTGTTGGCTTGGACACGAATTGCCTTTCCTTACGCATCCGTGCGCTATATCTTGAAGCAAACGGTGCGGGCGGTTGTCGCGAAGCGACCTGAATATGCATTAAAACCAAAACAATCGGTTCCAGCCATGCGACTCTGTGACTGGTAGGAAAAAAAGATACAGTAAGTCTCCAACACTGGCTGGTGAGGGCCCCTCATCCTTGTGTTGCACAGAACTACTTCAGGCTACGTCATATGCGGGTTTCTCAAACTCAGGCCAATGGGTTACACAAGTTTACACATAGTTGCACATGATCACACCGATACTGGCAATTCTACTGGGATTTAACCGGTAAATCATGATGACAAGCTGTAACATCCCTACCCATTCTGGGGGGGACCTGAAAAATTGTAACTTACATTTCCCCTAACATAGACCTAACAAAATGTAAGTTACATTTGTTAGGCGAACCACAAAAAATGTAACTATTCACAAGCCTGTCCACCTGGTGTGTGCTTTGGTTGTCTTGTTCTGTTTTGGTGTTGTGTGAAGATACTTGTCATTTATTAGTTGGGTCATGTTGGCACATGTATGGACCTGACTCAACAAAATGTAACTTAGGTGTGTCCAGGCCTGGGGTACGTGCAATTTCACCCATAGAAACATCTGCAGCATTTCGCGGCTGGTCTACCGAGTCTGCCAGAACATGGAGAGAAAATCTGCACAATGGGGTGGCCTGTAAAATGTAACCGTCAGCCGCAGTCCAAGTTACAATTTCCAGACCCCCCCCCAGTCCATTTTTTTGCTGACAGTATGTCACGATCACATCTGCACAGGGGGGGGGCCTGTAAAATGTAACATAAAGGCCTCGATAGTCCAAGTTACAATTTCCAGGCCCCCCCCTCCCCCCTCTTTTTGGTAAGGGGGGGTCTGAAAATGTAACTATAGACCTGGCAGACATAATGTTACATTTTTAGACCCCCTCCCCCCTTCATGCACCTCAACTGGGGTACCTGGGGGGGGGTAAGTTACATTTTTTGGGGGGGGGAGGGGGTCTGAAAATGTAAACCTCAAATCCGTGGTTAAGGGGGTGGGGATGCTGTAACTACCATTGTTCAATAATGCATTAAATTACAAAATGATACCACATTAGCCAGTATCTATGAAATCCAAGGCCTTAAGGCCCAAAATCAGGAGGTCGTTTAATAGAACGGTGGTTTTTGAGTTTGGAGAGACCCTATGCATTTTATGAAAGGTTAAAAGACAGTCGTATTGTAGATCAATTTTGCAGATTTGTTTGAAGGAACATGGAGGGAACCTTTTTTTGCGGGGTCATTCTATAGAGAATCATGTCAAACAAAAATGAAAACCCGGGAGCGGATGAGAGAGTGAATCTTCAAACACCACAATTTCTCTATAGAATGGTCTGCCCAACCAACCTCAAGGTCCGTGAATTTCAACCTCGACAACGTTAACTCTATTGAAAAAGCATTTTCAGGGGGCATCATGAAATTCACTGGTTCCTGGTTTGGCTTGGGCAACACATTCTATAGAGGTCACTGTTCGCGCACTGATTTCAGATACACGCCCATTCCATTATATAGCACCCCTTCTCTCAGCACCGTGCATGTTCTATAGATGTTGTAGAAGCCCCGCGTTTTATATCTATAATATCTATAACATGCCTTGTCCAAGGCCTGCTGCGTAATTCTAACCGGGATGCCAGTACAATGTATTACAAAGTGACATGTATTGGTTTGGTTTTACGGTTCACAAAAACACCCCACTGTGCCCCATCGGTGTGCTCGCTGCTCGCTGCTCGGGCCTGTGACGCTCATGACATGGAGCGTTCCCCGGGGGAAGCTGCTGACGTCGAAGTGCTTGCAGACTCTGACGGCCAATTCTCCTCACGCACCGCTGAGAAGCACAATGGCACAAAAATGCTTCTAAGGAAAGGCTTTTTTCAACACCCGTCTTATTCAAACAACCGAGTCAACTTAAATTCATTGATTTATATACCTTGCAAATCTTGAAAATTCTTACAAGCTGCGTTGACTCCAAGGCATTTCACATCATTTCACAGTTGTCTTGTGTTTTCTGGAGTTCATTTGGCAGAGTCTTCGAGTCTTGACCCACCTTGGCTTTGGCAGCTCGATGGCGGCGGCTCTCAGGGTCAGGGACGTCCGGTATTTCCTCAACCTCGAGCCGGACGAAGAATAATTGTGTTGCTTGCATTTGCTTGCCAGACTGGTATGAGCTTTGAGAATATCCAAGTACAGTAAAGAATGAATATAAATGAACCATGGCAAATCATGGCAAAGCGGCAAATCATGAGAGAACCTGGCATTGGCTCACGTGGTGCCAAACCACCGCGCGAAATTCCGCTCGCTCAGAGTTCTTCCGCTCTGAGTTCTCGCACGGGAGGCGAGTAGAACTTCAGCCCGGGCTGTAGCGTCAGCGGCTCCGCACGGAATCCTGGACGTCGGTCCTGTGGAAAGCGAAAATCGAAAGAGAACGACGGGTAGGGAGCTGAAGAACGCATGGCTCATATGGAATCTCAAGTTACGGTTACAGTAGCATCCGGTATTCTCTAGGAACAAGGACGCTACTAGTAGCTCCTGGCACTACTACTAGGAACAAGGACGCTACTAGGAGCAAAGGACATCGCTACTAGGAACAAGGACGCTCGCTCGTTAGGATTTGAGGATTCAGATTCCAACCCACGCGGTGTGGCATGCTAAAACCTGACGAAAACTCTGTCGCAAAGTGAGGAGGAAAAGCTCAAGGTTTGACACTTGTGGGGTTCATCTACCTTTCGCTACTTGAGGCCTAATGTCCACCTTCCCCCAAGCCTGCAATTTGGTCTTCCTCTCTTCAAATCCTTTCTTTGCAGCCTTCTCATCCAAAAGCTGCTGCCGCTTTCCTGAGGAACATTGCCCGCAACCATTGAATCAAAAATGGCCATCCCTCATTTACGGGTCATCGCTCAGAACATTCGGATGATCTGCTTCCTTTGTAAATAATTCAATACTTGCCCTCACTGACAATCCCCAGTCCAAACGTTATAACGTTCGAGCGGCTTGGTGTGAGCAGCGTAGGTAGCTGCTCCCCATCCTCACTCGTGAATGTGGTCGCCTGCCCAAGAGACCATCCACGGCAATTCTTAATATATAACCCTGCAACAAATCAATGGGAAGCTATGAGAAAAGCAAGGCCACGCAAAAAGTTTCTGGTGGAGCCTCTGCGAATGGGATAGCAAGTTTTTGCTTCGCCATCGGACCAAATACCGTGGGCAAATGAGTTGCTCTAAGGCAGCGGCTTGATCCTTGTGCTGCAGGCCAAGCTCGCGTGTCGTCAAGTCGATTGCACCACGGCGTTTCGCGATACTTTGCACAAGTTGGAATTGTTGGCCACGAGTCCATGAGTCTTGACATGTCTTGACTGTCGATTGTCCATGTAAAACATTGCAAAGCCGTGCCTCATTGCCCGAGCCGCCTCTAAACTTGAGCAGACCCAGCAGGCTTCAGCAGGGTTCAGGGTTCGACTGGCGCCCCATTAAGCCCATCACACTGAAATCTTGAACACCTAAAAGCTACCAGATGGATGACCGAGTCCGAATTTGAGGGAATTTGACTCTGAATGGACTTCAAAAACAAGCACAGTCGTTCGATGGCTGCTTGGCCATGTGCCACATGTGCTATTTGTGGCTCAGAAAATTGGATCACCTGGTTCACTTGGACCGGGCCTTGGATCTGCATCTCAGCTTCAGCCGCCCGCATCTTCAGCTCCAGCTGGCCCAAGGCCTGCCAAGATCTCGTCAGTGAGACGTCGTCTGTCGAAGGTTGTGCTGAAAGAATGATGGCGAAATACTAGGCCTGGTAACCTGGTACTGGCTTCCATGAATCTCTTGCGAAGCTACATGAGGCCTTTTGTCATGCGTCTCGCGGTTACGGACTCTTGCTTAGCAAGGACATCAGGAACATCTTCGAATTCGCAGAAGCACAATGAATCACCTTTCTCTTGCAGAGGCCACTTGTCGTTCGGAGTTTCCAACATTTCCTTTCCGTTTGGTGCGACCTTGGCCTTGGCCCTGTGGCAACCTCGGTGTGAGGGGTGCTTTCTTGTTGCTCGTGGTGCTTGTGGTTGAACTTTCCAAGTCTCTGAAGCTATAGAAGCCTTGCGTCGTCCAAATCGATGGAAGTTGTTGGACGGCACCATCTGTGGGCTTGCCATGGTGCTGGATCTTAGTGGTTGCTGCATCGGATCGCTCGATTCGACCCAAATCCTTGGAAGTTTCTGACATTGACTGTGTGCCATTTCCTGTGACCCCTGACCTGTTCATCTCACTTCGCTCATAGGAAGAATCTTCCAAAGGCAAGGCAACGGGTTGGCTGCTCATGGTAGCCTTTGAGGTCTGTTGAGCTTCTTCGATCTCGAGGACCAAATCCACGGATTCATCCACCGGGTCGATGATATTTTCAAAGCGAGCGAAGTTTACCCGCCCCACCAAGTCGGGCTGCTCCACCGGTTCTGGCCGCGCCTCGCGGCGCCATCGCCCCGCCCAAAGCCAGCAGCGCAAGGTCACGTTGGGCGGACAGCTCAAGAAGAAGGAGCAAAAGCCGGGCCTTGCACCGGCACAGCCTTGCGGATAGAAAACCAGTTGCATTCCACTGATGCCAGCTGCTTGGAAGGCTGTACTTCGCACAGCTTGTTCTTTGGCAAAAGTCTGAAAAAGTAAAGGCCCATTCTCCAAGCGCCACTGCACACGGCGGACAGCCCTTGAGCGCATCACATCCACCTTTTTGTGAAGCTGATCCAAGAAAGCCCGCCCTTGTGACTGCATCAATTCAAGCAACCGGTGGTTCAGGTAGCGCTGCACTGACAGTGTGCCATCCACGGGTCCTTGTGGCTCTCCTGCTGCTGCCATTGGATTGGAGTGACTGCCAGCAGAAGCGACACTTTCCACCAAAGACTCATGGATCTCGATGCCCAAACGAAGCGAGCCGTCCACTGACTTTTGCTCCAGAATGGAGCCCATCCGCTTCAAGCCACAAGGCGTCTTGCCATCAAAGCTATGACGCAGGATCACGGACTCAGTTCCCAGGAAGAGGCGGAAGACCAGCTGCAAGCCAGCAGAAGCCCATAAGTACAAGGAACATTGATTGCCAGAGCCATCTTCTTCATCTCCGCGTTCAGCTCCATTCTTGGTGTGCACTCGCAGCTCTAATTGTAAGCCGCTCGTGCCCGCAGCCTCAAAGGCTGGAGAGAAGAAGCTGATCTGTGCATCTCCCGACAAGACGGGATCATCACTTGTATCTTCACGGATTTCTTGCAGCTTTTCTAACTGCTTCACGGTATCTTCATGCAACCGCCATTCCACCTGCCTGGTGGGCAGGCCAGAGACCCCGCGACAGAAGCTGTTCAGCCGAATCGTCTCACCTGAGGCTGATGGCAAATGCATCGCAAGATATGGAAAACATGGAAAGAGCCAAAACATTCTGTCCACCACTCTGGTCCAGGAGGCAGAACCGTCTAAAACCTTCCTACCCACGTGGACATACATGGACCTTCCTTGTGCAAGGCGCATCTTGCCACCCCAGCCCAGCCCTACCGTTCCTGCCGGCCCTGCCTTGCAGCAGACTGGCGGTGGCCCGGCCCTCAGCGAGCACCGCCGCAGAGCGCGCCTCGGCCTCCCGTCGGAGCTCTTGCAAGTCCTCACAGTCCTTCAGCTGACGCTCGAGTAAATCCTCACACCTGACAGCGTGTAACCACAACATGTCACGCACTGTGCATGAGACCAGTGTGGCACACAGTGCCAGTGCATGCTGTGGTTCTCCAGTACTAGTAGTGCAGTAGATGAATGTAGATGAAACACGAGCCAAATGAGACAACAATAGATATCCACAGTTTAGAGTTCTGAAGCGCTTCGACTGGATAGATTTGATCTAGTATTCTGGTGCTAAGTGCTATGTTGTGACTCAAAGTTTCAGGGGAAACAGATCAGGGATGTTACTAGCAACTTCTTGTTACTAGTAATGCCAGGAGCTACGTTCGTAGCGTCCGATCGCTCCGTTCGGAGCGATGCCCAACAGTTGGGGCTCAACAGACCGGTCATCGACTGATCGGGCTCCCATCAGCTCCTCCTAGAAGGAAAGGCGAAAGGCCCTTCCAACGTACCCATGGAAGACTAGCATGGACCCTACAACCCACTGGTCTGTAAAGGAAAACAAGCTTTCAGGATGCTCTCAGGGTCCATGTGAGTTTGGAGTGAATCTACGCGCACGCATGCACCGTCTACGAACATGCCACGCCTCTCTGAGAACTTCAAATCCAAGCTGTTCAGCTCAGCTGTGAGGCTCTCCTCCAGTGCTTCTCGCAACTTCTTCTCCTCGGCCCGCTGCAATTCCATTTGCTCTCGGGTTTCCTCTTCCACGCGCTTGATGCGCTCGCCCAAGGATTCCTCCAGTGCCTCCTGCTTTTGCCTGGTCTCTGTCATCACAGCATCACACTGTGCCTCAAGCGCTAGTCTCGTTTCCCTCACGTTCTTGTCAAGCGCATTGAAGCTCTCCTTCATGCTTTCGGTGAGATTCTTCTCCAGCTTTTCGAGGCCTTGGCTCATCTCTCCACGAACGACTTTTTTCGCTCCCTCCAATTCCTTTTTGGCTTCATCTTTGGCCTCAGTGGCATCCTTGCGAGCTGCTTCCAACGCATGTTTCTGCAAATCCTCCCGAGCTTTCTTCAACTCTTCCATCTGCTCTTCCCGTGCCTGACGTTGCATCTCCTGCAATGCTTCGTAGTTTTGCTTTGCCAAGGCTTCAACACTTGAGACGGCCTTCTTGAGCTCCTCATTCTCGCTCTGAAGGCTTTGAAGCTTCTCTGTCTCAATGTTCAAGTCTTGCTGAAGCTTGGCATTCTGCTCCTGCATTGATTTCACTGCACCTTCCTGTGCCTGCAATTTGGTCTGTTGTTCATCAAAGGTCACCTGCAATTCGGTGATCTTATTCTGATTGCTTTCAATCCTCTTTTCGCATGCTTTCGCAGCTTGGTCCTTCTTTAATGCTGAGTTGGCTTGTTGCTTCAGCTCAGCCTTCAGAGCCTCCACAGACTCAGCTGTGGCATACTCCGGGCCCTTTCCCATCCCGTGCCCGTCGCCGTTTTGACAACGGACCACCTGGAAGCGTCCCAACTTCCCTTTTCCGGGCGCTGAGCCAAAGACTATGGAGATCTCCTTTTCAAAGACTATGCTGGGCCCGTCATGGGTCCTATAAGTTTCACCACATTCAAGCCCGATCCATTTGTCCAAAGCAAATCAGTGGGTTTAAATCAAGTTGTTCAATTAGTCAAGACACCGAAGCCTATTGGACGCACCCAAAGCACCAAAAGCAAAAGCATTGGAGCTATTCATTGTGCCTCCTGTACGAAGATCGTTTGTCCCAATCTTAGCCTCACATGGGGCAATGCGCCAAGGACTGGCGTGCTTCTGACACCGGAAGAGACACACTCTTCAACTCAGTTCTGCTTACTCCAATGTAGGATGCCTATTCTGATAGATCAAACAAATCCACATTGGGAGACCTCAGACTTGTTGCTACCAAGCCACATGGGGCTACCCTCCTCTGATTGAGACCTCAGCTCATGTAATTAGTTTCAGTCTTGAAAAGCTTTGGACAAAATTCTCAGATTTTACTTCGGATATCTTCGGATACCTCCATCAATGATCCGCCAAGGCAATAGCAGCAAAGGCTGAAGCTTCGCAAACTCCTCAGAGCATTGCCTGAGATCGAAGATCTCAATATGGGCTCATTTCCGCGAATCCAAAGTGTGGAGTTCATGGGTTGCCTGTTTGTGTGGCCTAGGTGTAGCTTTTCGCAACTTGCTTGAATCTCTTTGTTTGAAGCCCAAACCCGGTGGCTGCATGTGCATTGGAGTGAAGTTGACCTGTGACCAACACTTAAATAAGAGAGCAGAGTCCAACGTAGCTCAGCGGCACGAAGCTGCCAGCAGCCTCTGCAATCTCTTTCGGAATGCCCCTGAGCGAAAAGCTGAGGCTAAGCTGAGGCACGAAGCTGCCCTCTTGATGTCAGCATTGGTTTCAGGGAAAATCTACAGGAAACCTGTAAGTTTGGGGATGAAACCATGGTTTCCCTTCAACCAATTCTGAGACTTGAGGCTTCTGAGGCTCCTGCAAGTTCGGCGCCTTGCACGGAGCAGGGCAAAGACTGTGAGCGACCGGGGTCGCTCGGCCGTCACTCTGCTCTAAGCGTCTGACAGGTTTCTTGGGGGAGAGTCGGGATCCGATGCCTAAGGACAAGCGACCTGAAGACAAAGGTGTCCCACAGCTTCTTCGATTCAAAGATATGAAAGGTAGCAACCCTGTTGTGTCCCACCTGCAGACGGGCTTACGAGCGTTTGCCTTAGCCACACCGACCCACCTTCGAAAGCTTTGGTGTCTGCGTTGTTGTAACACAGCACCTGCAGAACCCGTATTGACAAAGCCACCGCATGCCCACCAGTTAGTGCACGCTAGGACTATCTTCACAATTGACAACCCCGTCCCCTTAGACACTTGTGTCACCTCCCTCACGAGGTTGAATTGCCTCCCTCCAAAGCAGTTCTTGTCTTATAGATAAATAGAAAAAGGCATTACAAGTGACTTTCCCACGCTGGCCACACAAAATGGACTTTATGCGACCGCGGCTGATCCATTTGTATATGTATATATTTATATATTACATATAGATGTTGCAAAACCCGGTAAGAAGAAGAACATGGTTCCTCCTGAAGTATAACAAGAGATTACCAGTCAACATTGTTGCAGTCAAGACCAAAGCCGCCGGTCTCTGCATCATTTCTAATTGCAGCGACTGAATAGGCAGCGCCATGGATAGACCAACAGCAACAAGTTCAAAGAGAGTGACCACATGTTCTTTAAATCCGCAATGGCCTCCAACCTACTAGCGAAGGCCTCCAACCTAAAAGTGATAGCCTTCAACCTAATATGCTGAAGATACTTAGTGCCCTGCGACGAGCCAAGTGTCGACATTTGAAGCTCATCCTGTCGAACGTCGCACGACTGAGTCACTAGCACGCTGGACTGAGTCACTGAAACAGCTCCTCCAATTCAGCTCGCAGCCGTTGCCACTGGCTGCGGACAGAGTGGCCAGCCTCAGGACAAAAGAATCTTGCTGAGATGAGCCACATTGAGCAACGCATGACTTGAGCAGTGTGCTGGTGTTGAAGTGATTTGGAGGCCGTTGCTTTTGGGTTGGAGGCTATTCTTGAGTGGGTCTGAAGGCTCCGAGCGCGGTACTAGAGGCTCTTCATCTCCCAGCAGGGCCTCCGCGGACTTCACGGCCTCCAGAAGCTTGGTCAACTCCTGGGCGATGCCACGTGTGAACTCGATGAAGCAACCCGTTGGTGGGAACGACCCGGTCCTGTTGCTGTAGTTCTTGCCATCCGGCCATCAGAAGTCGTTGATCTCTCTCCGACTTTCCCTGCAAACTCATACAAGTTAGAACAAGTTAGAACAAGTTAGAACTATAGTTCTTAGGCTCAGATTGACCAGAAGATACCATAAGGATTCATAAGGATTCATAAGGCTCATAGGAAGGATGATACTGCATGATCGATAGCAAGTGACGTACCAGTTTGGATGCACCAAAAAACTCAAACATCATGTGATCTCAAGTTCAAGATATCTCAAGTGTGCATGCACAACAAACATAAACGCTGTCCCATGTGCAGCCGGGAAGTAGTAAAATGCTACTGGTGCAAAAATATCTGCTGAGACCTGATGAGACCTTTCCTTCCTGTGACGCAGAGCTCTCCACAAAAGGGTCTCTGTTTTGCAAGAGTCATCTAGAGACCATCCACTCTGGCCTGATCTCGCTCCCTTCAGAATGGCTTGGAAGGGTTTGTCAAAACTGTGTGGCCGGTGGGCTGTGTATGCTGCGTACCTTCAAGCTCATGGTTGATGTCCTGAAATTGTTCCGCAGCCGCCTCAAAAAGGAAACTAGCACGTCCAAACAGAAACCGTGGCTACATCTCCCGACCACACTCTTTCCCTTCTGCTTGAGTAGCCAGCTCTAAGTTCTCCTCCAGCATTGCCAGCTGCGCGGATGAGGCTGTCAGCTCTGGACTGAGCTCCTGTGAGGCAGGTGAACTTGATTCGCTCTCAAGGAATATCGACTGGATCATCCCAAATCGTCCTGCGTCTGCAGCGGCTGGGTTTGGCTTCGTTTTGGCATCCTGAGAGTTTGGTCTTACTCAAATTGACCATGGCAGTGGGAAGAGCTTCCACTCTCTCGGATGTCGGACATTTTGGAGCGACCTCGGGCCCAGCCTGAAGGTCGGAAAGCACAAGGCCAAGAAACGTTGCGGCGCACTACTGAAGGTGTTTTTTTGTTTTTCGAACATCCCAAGCGTTTTGCCAGTCACATTTCATTGTGCTGGGAGCTTCGTTGCAACAAAGCTTGCATTGAGGCTCCAGCTTGACAAGCGGCCGCCTCTTTTCTCCCCTGTGTCCTCTGGTGCCTGCCGCACCTGCACTGAGACGTCCAAGCTTCTCTATGATTTTGCTCAGACAGCGTACCGTGCGGATGAAGACAGCACAGCGACACGTTACGTATCATGTCAATACCAATTTGGACCATTTGGGATCTGTGTTATGCCTGTGCATTTGGATCGATCATATTGCTGAGGGCATATGCAGGTTCTTCATGGTTCTTCACCCCCAACAATCGCCTGCTCCAGTTCGTCGCGCAACTGTGACCACGAATTCTGTAGTTGCCTTGCTGCGCTCAGAGAACAGCTTCGCAAAATGTTGGCAACGTCTTTCGAGAGGCCTCCAGTTTGTGCTCTCTCGCGAGTCTCCTGCAAATTCATGCTTGCGCACTCCAAAGCAATTGAATACGCAATGGCTTCTGCAACCCGCCTCCTGCTCTTGCTGCTGCATCCTGCGCTAAATCTCAACACACCACAACAAAGGCCCCCAGACACGTTTCAAGAACAAGTAGAATAATTAATCAAAACAAGTCAGAGAAGGAGCAGAAGGAGCAACGACCATGTCGACATCGATCTCTCAGTCTTTCAAAAGTGCTTCCAATTGAAAGGATCTACTGTAAAAGGCACTTTTTGTGGTTCAGTTCAGTGTTTACTGCTCAAGCAATGCTTCAGTATCATGCGAAACATGCGTATTCTGTGGCCTCGCAGGACTCCAGTTCAGCCAAAAGCTTCTTCTCCATCTCCTCAAGCTTTTCCTTGTCCTGCCACGTGGTCTCAACTAATTTGGTCGATCCCCTGTTTTCCCACCAACAACTAGTGACGTTCTCCCATGTTCTCCCTCTCCCTGGTCTGCGCTTCTGCATGAGACATCGTGAGACTCTGTAGTTCCCCTGGCCTTCCGTGAGAGCTCCTTCAACTTTTGCGCAAAGGTGGCAGCCCTTCGTGCCGCGTCCTTGAGACCTTTCAGCCACCCCTGGGCCTCAAAGCCACGGAGAAGTGCTCCGTCCATTGGGTTAAATGAAATTGGCTCCGTCCAGCTCAATCCCAAGCGCCTCCGGCTTGCGTGACTGCTGTTGGCCTCCCTGGCCTCCTGTCCCATTCCTCAGCTCAAATGTCGAGCTCGAGACGATGACCCTCTCAATCATCGTCTTGCAATGTCGTGCACCTCCTTCTTGGCGAAGGGAAGAAACATGAAGAAAGTCTCTGAGAAACCCAACTCATCTTCGTCTGACTCGCGAAGATGAAGCGATCCTCCAAGCGTACGGAGCGTTGGCAGTGACCCCTGACTCCCTAGGGGACAAACTGTCCTGAAGGAACACCGCTTTCCTCAAGCTTTGCTTGCAAGGCCTGCCACAAAAGACAAGGCCTGACAAGCCTAAAGAATGCTACGCATAACTGACCTGACAACAGGCCCGTGACCCTTCTCGGAAACGCGTTCAAAGAACAACCATATTCTCTAGATTCTTTGTGATGTCAGGCTTGAACACGTCCATGCCCAAAATCCAGACCTCTTGGACATCTCCAATCTCCTGTCAAAACACTCCCTTCAAGTCACACAGGAACGTCTTTTTCGACCTATCTCTTTCTCCGGCTGAATTCGAAGAATTCGGGCTCTCCTGCGCCAGTGCATCCCATAGATTGGAAGTCTCAGGACCTCACAGGTGTGGTCGACCGGACTCCGCGGGCGTCAGTTGAGACAGGTCGACCGTTGGCC